AATTTAACAAAAAAATCAGTTATTCCCCAATATCTCTGGAACCGCTCTGGCTTTTTTCTTCAATTTTGGTACATGCCGAGTATGAATAGAAATGCATTTTTTCCATAATGAAGGATTTCTTAATTTCCATCAGTGGCGTTCCTGTTAACATACCCTGTCATATTTTCCATCAAAATAATGATACGCCACTGTCTTTTTTTCAAATGAATATCATTTCTGTAATAATCCTCTATCTTCTCATAAAAATAGTCTCCTGTCTTTTTTTCGTCCGGCGAACGGTTTTTGAGTTAGAAAATAAAATGCATTCATTTGCTTGTCCCTATTCGATTTCTACTCTTAGTCATAATTTCACAATTGTGGTAACCAAAAGATCTGAGCAGTATTTTTATAATTTTATGGTAACTATTTTTAAGTATTTGTAATGAAGAAAAAAGCCAGAGCGGTTTCAGATATATTGGGGAATAACTGATTTTTTTGTTAAATTTCAACATCCTGTATCTCAGAAACGAAGCTGTTACGGACCTATGTTCACATGAAGAATTTTTCTTAAAATCATCCAAGGATTATCACCCTTTAGGATCAGCATTCAATTATGAAACACCCTGTATAGACAAATCGGCCATATTTTGAGTTTCTCTAGCGCCGCCTACGAAGCAGCCAAGAATTAAGGCCAAATTTGACTAGCGTCTAGCGCAAGGAGCTATTCCTATAAACACCGTAGTGGGAGAACCGCGCCAAGCGAGACGAGGACGCGGACAAACATCACCTATGCCTTCACCATAGACCTTCACCTATCGGCATGCCCGACGAACGTTGGAGCGAAGGAGCGAAACAATAATGTGAAAATAATATTAGAAATATGAATACAGGGTGTATCGGGTATATAGGTGCTTATTGTAACACGTTCATTCGTTAGGTAGGTATGTTCGGATAGTTTTTACAAGATCTAGCAGACTATCTCTGTAGATAGGTAGGTATGTATCAAAATCAAATGAATTAACATTATATTCCATGTACAGGGTGATTCACCATAAATGCCCCCCCCTCTAGCTAGGTTATTTTTGAACCGATCGCAAAATTTGAAGAATCATTTGATTAAGTTTTTTTCCGCTATATCAGAAAATACAGGGTGCTCGGAACAAACGATCGACAGGGTACAAGTTGATTTTTTTAAAAGGAACACCCTGTATTTTATTGCATTTTTAGATTATCCCTGAATAGCTGATTTCATCAATATATCACACTTGGGGTCTAGCGGGAATGATTACAGAGATATAGGGTGTTCAAAAATCGAGATTTTTCAAATTTAAGTAGGATGTTTTTCTGTCGAAACTATTACTTATCGGTCAAAACGGCTTCCATGTTCCTATATTAACTCATGATTTACTATCTACTGACATTTAATAATTGGAACAAATACAGGGCGATCAGAATTCTGAATCTTGAACCACCCTGTATTGTTCCAATTTGATGTCAGTAGATAGTGAATCAAAAGTTGGGATAGGGACATGTGAGTCGTTTTGACCAATAATGAATAGTTTACACACAAAAACATCCTAAAATTAAAATATCTCGATTTTGAACAACCTATATCTCCGTAATTATGAACGTTAGACCCCAAGTGTGATACATTGATGAAATCAGCTCTTCAGAGAGAATCTAAAAATGCAATGGAATACAGGATATTCCATTTGGAAAAATCAACTAGTACCCTGTAGATCGTTTGTTCCGAGCACCCTGTATGTTCTGATGTGTCAGAAAAAAAATCTGGAAAAATCATTTCAGATGATTTTTGAAATTTCGAAATCGGTTCGAAAATAAATAATGAGCTAAAGGGGGGGGGGGACATTTATGGTGAATCACCCGGTACATCATATGGTTCAGTTTTGATTATGGAATTGAATATTTGAATACGTTCTTAACTATATGTAATCTACAGGGTGAGTCAATATAGTGCGTTCTCCTTCGATATCAGCCAAACCGTCAGATATATACATATTTGAAAAAAAATCGAATACAGAATAATAATAGTCATGATAATTTTCATCTTGAAATATTTTCATATCTATACCGGGTAATACGGACTCATGGTATACCACCTTTTTCTCCTTTTGTTTTCTAGCTATATTTCTGAAATTTGGAACATCGAATATGCTCACTAGATGGCTTTATCTCACATTTTAGGAAATTTTTTTCATCTTTCAATTCTCCTGGAAATGAGATCAACTTTCGATTTTCAAATGGAAGACCCTGTATTTCATTCCATAATCGGTTAGAGATTGTTATAACGAATTCAACAATATCGGGTTTGATTGGGTTATTTCAAACTTCACATTTTCTCCAGACACTCTCTGCGATGACCACGTCATTCTTCTGACCATCTACCAATTTTGGATTTTCAAATGGAATAATACATTCTGTACATTATTCTATCACTGATTATGGGTTATACCATTACGATACCACAAATATACTGACAATATATCAACCTACTTGCCATTATCACTAGTCTTATTATTAGTAATTAATTAAAGAAAAAATGTATTCAGATATTCAGTTTCTTTATTCATGATGTAAACCTAAATGCTTAAAGAATAATATTGTATTTTATGAATACCTATAATAGGTATAGGTATCCCAATTTTATTTTTTCATTTTATGGCCTCAATCTCCAAATCCTCATATCAGTATTCAAAGTGTTAGTTTTGTATTGAAAAGGAATATTCTCAGATATATTATAAACATGAAAAAATTGATTCATTTGAATAAATACATTGAGAATTCGCATTCTCTATGTGATGAAATTATTAATTCTTTCTCGGTATATTCAACAGAAAACAACTACTTCCCTGGCTATATGCCACGACGAACATTGAATTATATCAATTGAACATACACGATAGACTTTTAATAACATGTGTTGTCAGCCGCGCGTCGCTATAGGTGATGGGCACAGTTGATGTTTGCCCGCGTCCGCGTCTCGCTTGGCGCGGTTCTCCCACTACGTTGTTTATCGGAATTGCTCCTTGCGCTAGACGCTAGTCAAATTTGGCTTCAACATTATACGCAGGTGGATCATCTTGTTAGTGTATAATAAAGGCCGTGGTAGTCAATCTACTCTTGATCTCTGTAAGGCATTCAATTTCCAAAATAATCGTAAAAAAATTATTGTATTTACATTATACCTTGTGTTTATGGAAAGTTTTATACAGGTGAAACCAAGAGACCTCTTTCAGTAAGGATGAAGGAACATAAGTACAATATAAAGAAAAGACACATCGATAAATCGAAACTAGCTGAACACATCCTTACTGAAGACGGACAACATATGGCAGAGTGGAATAATATTAAAATCATTGGAAAAGAAGATAACAACCAGTAGAGAAAAATCAAGGAATCTGCTTGCATTCTTCTGAACAGAGACAATAGCATTGCTTCTTGTTCAGTTGATATAGACAAAACATGGTATTCACTGCTAAAATCTGAACATGAAAGTGGTAAATCCAAGATTAATTAATGGAAACATCCTGTAACTCATTTGATTGCCAACGTCACCAATTGTTCTAAAATTGTTCTATCCGTCATTCGGTTGCCCCCTTACGAGCAACCCTCAGAAGCCTTCGAAAGTCTTGTGCGAGCAAGGAATGACGGGGGCCTTACCTTTTAACGTGTGATCCCAAACACTTTCTTGGGCCATCAGAAAAATTTCTGCAGTCGACGGGGATCGAACCCACGACCGGCAAGCGAATGCGAATTAGAATATAGACACTCTGTCCGCACGGCTACCTGGCCTCCAAATGTCCTAATGTCAATGTCCTAATGTCAATGAAGACTAAAAAGCTTCAAGACAGATACGATAATCATTTCTTTTGTTGAAAACGGGCGCACAGATTCGGTCCCAGAACGTCCAGAGATAAGTGAAAATTTGATATTTCTTCTATATGTATACCTTTATTTCTCTGCTCCAAACTTTTTTCAATACAAATTGTCACTGACGAGCTAGTGAATTTTTCTTTTAGGCTCTCTGATAGGATAATTCTTCAAACGCAGTGACATTTTGGGGCAAATCATCTGATTTGTCCCTACTACACGTATATTGAAATAATATTCATTTTTTTTTTATAGAAACGTATAGGGAGAAAATCCCAAAAAATTTGGAATAATGAATGTACCATCTCCTCGATTAACCTATAGACAGTATCCAGCAAACTATTGTTTTTTTCGCAAATTCGGAATAGAGGTTATGTACTCAGAGGTTCTCTTCTGCCGCGTTCGGGTTTTCATAATTTGTGAACCGTCCTGAAACAGTCCTAGGATTCGAAACGACTGCGCACTAGTTCTGCGCAGTTCGAGAACGATTCTTGAACAGTTCTGATATCGGAACCCGAATGAACCTAGAATCTCCCTGCCTATATAGGTATATGTTCATGCTTGTACGAATTCCGCAAAATTTATGCGAATCGCAGAATATGAAATTCCCAACAGAATTCGACGTTCATACTCATGCGACAAAATTTGCAAAAGATAAGGGTTCTGTTGTCATTTATTATTTCTTCATTTCTGGTCCACCATTGATAAAAGTTCATCAAATTAAAGGCACGTTAGGTACACCAAAGTAATTTAAATATTTATTTGGGTCAGTAGTTTTCATCAAACGAGGCTGTAATGATCTCCATACATTTTTCGGCATTCAAAAATGCTCTTTTGAGATGATACAAATGATACATCGAAATTAATTCGTCCAGAGAATTGATCCTGTGAAGAAAATTTTATGAAATGAAGAAATGATGAAATTTATACCTAATTATAATTCTGTCTAGTCTTGTCTTTATTCGGCCACTGCTGTCCGCTCCCTTATTCCCCAATTTTGCTGTTATCAGAAAAACAAAACAATTCGTAAAAAAGTTCAAATATTTCAACTTCATTGCGATTTTCGCAGTCGCCATTTTATTCGCATAAATTTTGCGGATTCGTGCAAGCATGAACATATCTTATCTCACCTGTTATCCTTCCCAGTTTCCCATCCGTCACTGGGCTCAAATAATTGGCCACCAATCCCCCGATATGCGCCCCAACGCTGTACCCGATAACGTGGAGTTGGTCGGCTCGCACCCCTCTCGGATGCTGCGTCAGATAGTGGACCAGCTGCGCCACGCATTTGGCGCAGAATCTCGGGGCCCATTCCATTTGCTAGAAATCAAACCAGCACCGGTTTTACCAGGGGTCTTTGGGTGCGATAGCACCAGGAGGAAAATCTTCAGGGCGGCTATATGAAAATACAACTGCACATCTTTTGTCATCAGTCATTATCTGGATATTTTGATTTGTAACGCGAAAGATTTGATCACTATACTACCTGAACTTGGAGTCACTGGATGGTATTAGTTTGATAAGAGTTCGGACACAGAAATGACAACGGTTAGGGTTTTTGAATGTTCAGATTTATTAAGTTACACACCTTGCATTGTGACAAGAGCACCATAGTCTTCCCGCGCGTTTTCATTCAAAATTGTTTGAATTTGACAATAAATTTTATAAACGTCAGAATTGAAATATAATTTCCTAATTATACTTTCGAGAAAAAGCAGTTATGGAAATGACTTGCTGTGTATAATGAATTGTGTCAATTCTGAAAAAAAAGGGATATCATTTATTCAATTTTCCAAAACAAATATCAACCATTCGCTTATGGAAGGAAGATATGAATCGGCCTGGGTGGAAAACCAATTTGAAGACAGCATCTGATCAGAATGAAACTATATTTTAGGCCCATTTTCAAAAAGATGATTTCAAAATCTGTTTGAGAGAATCTGCTGTTCCATCAATTTACAAAGCAGACGATTTGAAGAACAAAATTACATTATTATCATCACACAAAATAAAAAACCAAATAATCATGGAGAAAGAGGAATTGATCGCAAAATTAAATTAAATGATTTATTTCATTTCATCTTTCTTTTTACCTTCAAACACGGTTCCTTGACTAGAGTCCCATAATCGACGATGATGATATTATAATTTCCCCTGTAGAAGTAAGCGTCCCTCATGTCAGTACTGGGGGCATACATCCTGCCTCCTCCGAAACCATGAATGACTATTTTGGTCGGATAACCTCTGTTGAATTGGCTGTTGTAGAGAGATTCTGCTCTGGTAACGTCTAGAAGTTCTGGGTTTTCTTGAGTTCGTCTGAAAATGAATGTTCTCTGCATCATTCCGGGTGATGACAATAATAACAACTGATCTGGTCGATCTAGATATCTTAGCTTGGAGTCGTCCAATAATCCCAGACAGCACTGGATATTCCCAGACTAAATACCTATGCTAAAAGGGCAGAGTATATTCCGAATATCCACCGAATATTCCTAGAATATATATGTGTCTTTGGAATATCCAAAGAATATTCAAATTTGGATATTCTAGTGATATTCCAAGATGATATACACGGAATATATCAGATGGAATATTCAAAGATGAATATTCCAAGAATATTCCAGTTGGATTGTTCAGCGAATATTCAGGTATGAATATTCCAGGGATATATTTGTATATTCATGGTATATTCCATAATTATTATTCTCATGTATTTCAATGAAATAAAGTATAGTATAAACACCAATCACTATATTATATTTTATAGTTGCGAGTGTCAAACATTAATTATCATAAAAATGTGGTAGAAATCCATCGTATCTCAAAGTGAAGTGATTAGTTACCGGAAGTCAGGAACACAAAGTCATCACCACAATTTTAATAGGGATCGAATTACTCGATCAGATCATCGTACATGTTTCGAGCCCATAAAGGCTCATCTTAATTATTATGTATCAAGATTTGAAAATAAAATTGACCTGTCTTATCGATTTTTCATAGTATTTACTGAAAGGAAGATATTGAGGGTGGGATGTTTTCAAAATGTCGGTGTATGAGATTATGGTATGTAAACTTTATGGTCCTCAATTGAGCAAACATCGAATGAATTATTTATTTCTGAATGTTCAACAATAATTAAACCTGTCAAGCCAGTTCTACACTATTTTTTATACTAAGCATATTACCTTGGAACTATATTTGTTTACGTTTGTAGGAAATAATTTTTGCAACTCGTGCGCGAAATACTTTGGTCATTTCGACTCTTTTTTTTATCTCGGCTGCGCCTCGTTGAAAAAATCAGTTCTCGTTAACTATTTCGCATTTGGCAATTGGCATCTCGCGCACTATAGATACAAAAATAACTATTTTCTAATTTCTAGAAACGTCAAAAAATTACAAGGTTCGCAATAACAATTAAGGCCTTTTAAACCAGTTCAACACTATTTTTTATATTAAACTAAGCATATTACTACTTAAAAACCATATTTTTGACGTTTTGAGGAATAATGTTGTTTCCAATTCGTGCGCAAAATACCTTGGCACCGAAGCAGGATTTCGCGCACTAGATACAAAAAAATATTTTTCTACAAACGTCCAAAAATGACAAGGTTCACGCATTGATGACAAATTGCGGAGTGACACTTATTTTCAGTTTCCTGCGTTACCATGATACCTTGCACAAAACAGTGCGCGAAGTAAAACAGTGCGCGAAGAACCTACTTTGCGCATTGTCATGTAAAATATATGAGATATTTCAACTTTATGGTCCTCATTCGAGCAAACATCCACGAAATCATTTATTTCTGAATGTTCAACAATAACTTTTGTTTTATCTCTTAGAGTGCACGAAATAAAATTCATATTATGTTCGTGGAACATCGTGCGTACATAGGGAGGATAGGGGGAGGCCTTTTAAGCCAGTTCAACACTATTTTTAATATCAAGCTAAGCATATTTTTACTTTAGAACTATATTTTTTGACTTTTGTAGAAAAAATTTTGTTTGCAACTCGAGCGCGAAATACTTTGCTCATCTCGTCTTTTTTTTTAACTCGGCTACGTCTCGTTAAAAAAATCAGATCTTGATCACCAAAGTAGCATTTCGCGCTCTAGATACAAAAATTACTATTGTGATGATCTCAAATAATAGATAATTGTATCAAATAGTTTCCATACACAGAAGGATCAATATAAAATAGGTATGTGACGTAAATTCGACTATAGGTTGTACTAGATTCACTGGATGGTATTAGTAGATAACAATGCAAAGTGAACTAATACTATTCAGTTACTCTGAATGAACTGCGGGCCGTCAGAACAGACTGACTCTAGCATGGGTACCAGCACATACAGGGTACGAGGGCAATGAAGAGGCAGACTCACTTGCCCGAGCAGGAGCAAACAAAGCTCGCTGAATGGCCCAGAATCATTTTGTGCTATTGCGAAAGCTACACAAATACAGATGCAAACCAAATCTCAAGAATAGTGGGACAACTCTCCAGGAATGAGACAGGCCAAAGAGTTTATTAAAAAACCACCGCCAACATTCACCGAATATCTACTGAGCCACAAACGAAGTACGACTAGAATACTAGTGGGACTTCTCACATGGCATTGTAGGCTCAACAAACACATGGGTACGATAGGGCTGATTGAAGAACTGCTGTGCAGGTTCTGTCAGGAAGAGGAGGAAACAGCAGTACACATACTTTGCCACTGTGAGGGCTTGTCAAGACTACAGTTCCTTACGCTGGGTGAGAAAAACCATTAGCGTCTGCGGACAGGCGGAAGTAATGACTCCGTGGTGGGAGAACGTTATAGTGGGCAGTAGATGCGACTGGCGTTATGCGGCGCCGACTGAATGACTTCATCATACTTCGTCTCGTAAGCAACTGGTTGGCTCAGTAAGCAGAGCATCGGTATGCCGCTCTCGAGACAAGCCCTGGGGCAGAGTATTACATCCCCAAAAGAAATCTTCGAAATCATTAAATATCTGAACATCAATAAAGCCCCAGGGCTTGATGGTCTGGACATGGTTCTCCTAAAAAACATGTCACGCAAAGCAGTAGTGCAATTACACTACGTCATCAACGCTATCATAAGATGCCAGCACTACCCAGAATGCCTGAAAACTGGGCTTGTTGTACCCATCCCGAAACAGGGCAAAAACCTGAAATCCACAAATGGCTACCGCCCCATATCTCTGCTTAGTGCTGTAGCCAAGATCGTGGATAGAGTCCTCTTACGACTAATATCTCGAGAGATCAATAAACTGGACCTTATACCAAAGGGGCAGTTCGGGTTCCGCAAGGGACACAACACTGTGTCCCAAGTGGCCCGAATTGTTCATGAGGTTAAGGAGGCCAGCAACAATGATAAAAACACCGTTCTGGTCATGATGGACGTAGAAAAGGCCTTTGACACCGTCTGGCACGAAGGTTTAATGGCCAAGCTGCACAAGGCAAGAGTGCCGATTTTTATCATTAAAATTATCGATGCATATATTACCAACAGGAAAATCCGGGTCAAGGTCAACGAAAGTATATCGGGAGATTTTCCACTCGAGGCAGGTGTTCCGCAGGGATCTTGCCTCTCACCTCTATTATACACACTATATACGCACGATTTCCCTGTATTCGAGCGAACGAGCACCGCACTGTACGCAGATGACACAGCGATCTATGCACACTCGGCCGACTCGGATATTGCCAGACAGCAAATCCAGATTCATCTGGACAGGGGAATCGTGCCATACTTTGACGAGTCAAAGATCTGTATGAACAGCGCAAAAACCGAAGTCATCAACTTCCATCAGAAATTCAAGGAATAGAAGCTGAACAGACCTTTGACCGTCAAAGGTGTCGAGGTGAGGGACACGGTCCCTGTGAAATACCTGGGGGTTAAACTGGACACTCGTATGACATTCAGGCCCAATATCAACTACCTGATACAAAAAACACAAGCAGCCATAAAGAAGATGTACCCCTTGTTATCCAGGACCTCTGCACTCTCGCAGGAGAACAAGGTCCTGGTGTACAAGCAGGTCATCAGGCCTGTGATGACGTACGCGTGTCCTGTGTTCTGCAGCATCTCACCTACTATTATGAATAGGCTACAGGTGCTGCAGAACAAAGTACTTCGTATTATCACCAATGGTGATAGATACTCTCGAGTGGCAGACCTCCACGAAAGATGTGGTAATTTGCCAAGAATCAACGAATTCATTCTTAAAATATCAAACAAATTCTACAAATACCACATCGCTGGAAGTGACCTTACCCGGAACATCACCACACTACGCCAACACCATAACATACGCAAGAAACACGGGCTGATATATGCATCAACCGATGTGTTTAGAGAACCTGGTGATCTATAGTTGGGATCCCTCCCGGATTCTCGGGAATACTCGAGACGCCGGGGGGTCTAGACAAGATTATCTCTCAAGCAGGAAAATAAAAAAGTGACATGGGCGTGAGAAATCACTACCGATCACTGAACTCGGGCAGATGTGCCTCACGAAAGTGTGGTACAGCCGCCCGAGCAGAACAAGAAGGAGGTTTTTTATGGTTTTGCCGATTTTTTTTACTTTTCCTCCATAAACAAGCTAACCCACCCACATTGATCGCGACTGAACAGCTCCCCCACCCTCTTGGGTACCCTCAGCGAGATTACCTATATAAAGGGCCTAGCCCTAGGAGATAGGTACCTCCCCATGGTATATCCCAAATAGATTTATCTATAGGGACCTGAACATAAACCCAGACTACATAGACAACTACATAAGACAACACGCGGAGACTACATTCGGAAGAACGGAAACCCACGAGAACCCGCTACTGCACGACCTGACCAACAGACAACTAAATCAAGACCCGCGCTTCGGAAGAATAAAGTACAAACGCCCAATTCACCAAATATAAGATAAAAGAACGGAATTAAATCAATATCAATAAAAGTTGCATAATAATCATCAGATAAATAAACAATAGAGTCTCTCCTTTGATACCCTATAAAAAGTTAACCAATAATAATAAGACATAAACACAATTTTTGCTTCCCATTAGGGTAGGGAACCACCACGCAAAGTCAGGCTAGGAAACACACATTAGACAAAAAGGTTTAAAAGTCGGAAGACTGAAACCAAGTAAGGGGTTATATAAAACATATGCAGATTGCCAAATGCATAAGGTTGAAGTCCACTCGTTAGTGAGTGGGGGTGGATGGACATGGGGATGAGGAGCTATCATATAACGTAAGCTAGTTATATGGCGGCACTTGATCCTGGGCATTCAACCTTTCGGGGGGCGTGGTGAG